ATTCAGGAAAATTGGAGTAAGGGGCTGGACAGGCTATCACAGCTTTTCTTATCCCCAGATGCCACTTTCTAAACTTTTATCTTTTGACAATCCTGGGTTTGTTTATATTTTCTCTTTACCAACTAAGCTATTGTTATCTTTCATGCTATGACCCCAAGTTAAACGGCCATAAAATACATTGTATTTAAAGCCATAATCTTCCAGGATACAATTGATTTTCTCAGCCACTCTCTAAACTACAGTATTTCATGCCCTAGGTCAACAAGTGACTCTATATTCCAGGAGTAAACTGAGCTATAGTGTTAAACCTTTCCCCAGAGGTATAAATATTCTACTTCAAAATGGCTGGCCATGAGCTGATGAAGAAGCTGTGGGAGTGAGTCGTCTATCTCTTCTACCAGGTGTTGGGAGTGACAGTCCCAGTGTGAAAGTTTGCCAACTCCGTGGCCCCGGAAGCCTCTGCTGGCCTCCGTTTTTCCAGCTAGCGTATGCCCGAATAATTGAGAGAGTTAAGTGAATGCAGGTCTCTCTTTTCGCCACGTTCCCCTCGAATGCCTCAGTAACATGAGGCAATTTATCTTGCTTTTGTGCAGCAGTGCGTAGGTTCCTTTAAAGGGAGAATTTAGGCTTCTTTTTCACTTCAGAAAGAGGCAGCTCTCAGGCTGGCAGCATCCAAAGCCTTAGTGGGACTGTTGCACCAGCCACATAAGCAGGCTCAAGAAACTCCCCCTTCCATTGCTTTTTTTTCCGTCTGCCTTCCTTTTCCTTTGGAGACAGAGCCTATTGCAAAGGCTTGTGGATTTTTCTAAAGATGTGCCCTCCACAGAGATTACATTCAGCTCTTTAACAAGAAAAATGTCGTTGTAATTAGTGGCTCTTGGGAAGCATTTGTGAACTGTTTCAGAGAAGCTCATTGTGGGATCAGCAGCCTTGACACAGAGCGCCCTTGTAGAATGTGAATACTTTTTAACCACTTGGAACATGCTTTAAATGCAAACCAGTTGAAACACCCTCACAAGGACACCTTCGTTATATAGCCTCGATTAGAAGGACCCATGGCAGCATAGGACAGGCCCTGGGTTTCCTTCCACCTTTGCCTGCTCACCTCTGACCTGTGAGCTTCCATTTTCCCTGAGCATTCAAGAATGGTCTCTGATATATACCCAGTTAATCTGCTGCCAATATGAAGGAATACCTAGCTGCAAGAGAGTTAGGTATTCTAATAGAAAATCCATTTTTTTATAATTTCCCAACTGGGATTTATTCTCCACTACACCTTGTGGTCAGTGTGAATTAATCAGATACTCTGGACTACAGAGATGGCACTGTATCGTAGGGTGGATTGGTTGAACAAATAGTTAATATAAAGCCAAGAACACCATTCCTTGTGTCACCAACTAAGGCAGCTAGGGACCTTGCAGGTACCTCCCTACCCTGGACTGAGAATAGCTGTTAATGTCTATTGGCTATGCAGATTAGAAAAGTCTAGCTAATAGAAGAGCAGAAAACAAGATTGATCACACACTCAAGCATCGATTCAAAAAAGCCAACAGAGCCTCACCTATTTTTATGACTTAAACTAAACATACAGAGGCCCTCCTGTCCTGTTCCTTGTCTTCTTCTACTTCTGATATCTATCCTGTTTGCCCTTCTGAATGAGATTAAGCATCTTCCCTAGGTTCCTCCTTGTAGTTTAGCTTCTTTAGGACTATAGATTTTAGTATGTTCATCCTATATTATATGTCTAACATCCACTAATAAGTGGGTATACACCATGTGTGTCTTTCTGCTTCTGGGTTACCTCACTCAGGATGATTTTTTTCTAGTTCCATCCATTTGTCTGCAAATTTCACAATTTCCTTGTTTTTTATTGCTGAGTAGTATTCCATTGTGTAAATGTACCACAATTTCTGAGGAATGTATCCATTCTTCAGTTGAGGGACATCTAGGTTGTTTCCAGATTCTGGCTATTACAAAAAGAGCTGCTATGAACATGGTTGAGCAAATGTCCTTGCAGAATGGTTGAGCATTTTTCAGATATATGTCCAGGAGTGGTCTGTTAAGCACCAACAAACCAAGTAATCCAATTAAAAAATGGGGTACAGAGCTAAACCGAGAATTCTCATTAGAGGAATACCAAATGGCAGAGAAACACTTGAAGGAATGTGCCACACTTTCATCAGCTATACTACTTCCTGGCGTATAACCTAAGGATTCAACAGCTACAGAGTCTCCACACTTAGTCATGTTCAATGCTGCTCTAATCACAACAGCTAGCAAATGGAAAAAACTTAGATGTCCAACTGATGAATATATATTTTAAGTGTTTTTGAAATATTAATTCAGAAGATTTTCAAATATAATTTAGACTCAAAGGTCTTCTGAACTGTCCAACATAAAATTAATTCTGTTCATGGAAACATCCTTTTCTTAGCACGTGGATAATCTGCACTAAAGCTGTAGTGAGCTTGCTGTGTATTAATTGCTGAAAGAGAACCAAGATGTGAAAATATTTTCAATTCACCAACTCCCTGCATTTAAATCCACCCCAAATACATGTAATCTGTTGTCTAGTCATAACAGAATTGTGTCTGAATGCCACCTAAATTGAATCTCTCTTAACTATATTCATGCCGTTGACTATTAGTGCTATTAACTGCCATTAACTACATTTTAGAGTATATGGCCCAGCTATTACAATCTATTTATTTATTCATCCATTTTTCCATTAAATTGTATTTAGTGCCTGTTTTGTTCAAGATACTTTTTTACATTCTATGAATATGACAAATGAACAAAGTTTCTTTTCTCAGAAAGTTTAGTCTCCTAATTGAGACAATATCTATAAATATATAAACTTAACAACACAAAAAAAAGCATCAAAGGCTCCAAACTAAGGATAAACAAGAGCTATGGGGGTTCATCAAAGGGCAATGTTCTAAGTGAAAAAGAATTTGGAACAGCACTTCACAGACTGGAACAGGAGGATCATGGGTCAAAGCTAGCCTAGCCTAGACAGCCAGATTATCGCAACAGAAAAGAGCGGGACATAGTGGTTCAGTCCTAAAAGACCCTGCTACACAAGCATGAGAACCTGAGATTGGATTCCCAGAATGCATCGGTGCCTGTAACTCCAGTCTGACTCCCTGAAGCTCATTGACTAGCTAGCCTAGCTGGAGCAATGGCGTTCAGGTTTAGTGATTAAACCCTGTCTCAAAAAAAATAAAGGTAGCTCAATGCCTAGCCCAATAATCATCAGAGAGGCTTCATCCTGAAACTGATGGGAGCAGATGCAGAGACCAGCACCTAAGTGTTACGTGGAGCTTGGGAAACCGGGACAAGGATGGGGACTGTAGGAGCCAGAGGGGTTGAGGACACCAGGAGAACACAGCCCACAGAATCAACTAAGCAGGGCTCCTGGGGGCTCACAGAGGCTGAAGCTGCAATCACGAAGCCTATCTGGGTCTAAGCTGGGTCTGCTGCATGTGTTATGTGGTGTAGCTTGGCATTCTTGTGGGATTCCATGGGGATGTCTCTGACTCTGCCTACTCTTGGGACCCTTTTTTTCTCCTACGGGGTTGCCTCATCCTGCCTTGATATGAGGGTTCGTGCCTAGTCTTATTTTAACTTGCTATGCCATGTTTGGTTGCTATTCCTGGGAGGTCTGTTTTTTTTTTGGGGGGGGTTGTTTGTTTGTTTGTTTTTTCTGAAGAGAAAGAGAAGGCGAGTAGATCTAGGGGAAGGGTGGGGGGTGTGCTAGGAGTGGACTAGTTCCAAATCCTTTTTTACAGGGAGAGAGGCAAGTGAAGGGAGGGAAAACTGTGTTGAAGATGTAAGAGAGAAGAATACATTTATGAAAATACAATAAAGTTAGAGAGCAACCAAGGAAAGACACTTTACTTTGACCTCCGGCCTGCACACGCATGCACACACACACATAGCCACACAAACGGGGGCACTCATACGCAGTAATATTTGGGATATGGAAAACAATTCTCTTCCTAACTCACAATTTCCATTAAAGCTCTGCCCTGTATCACTGTGCTTCGCAGCCTGTTGTCTGTTGTTGTTGTTTCCGCCCAAACATAACCCGAACAAGGACTACACCAACAGACATGCTGAAGAACATGGATGGAGGACAGACAGCTCAGGAGACCTCAGCCCTACACAGAGAATTACAGGCAGCTAAGGAATACTGAGCATGAGAGAAATAGTCTCCTCCCGGGAAAACACAGCAACTGGTTATCCAGTACGTGTGTGTGTGTGTGTGTGTGTGTGTGTGTGTGTGTCATTATGCATACTAAGCAGGTTGCATTTATGTACTTAGGAATTTGCAATAGAAAACATATGTATGAGGGAAGAAGAAAGAGATACATACAAACAATTAAAGAAAAAGAGATCAAGAATTTGAATGAGAGCAAGGGGGTACATGGGATGGAAGGATTTGGAGGGATGAAAGAAAAAGGGAGTGTGATGTAATTATATGTGTGTGTGTGTGTGTGTGTGTGTGTGTGTTTGTATTTTTTTAAACTAAATAGAATGGAGACTAGAATAGAAAGTATCAAATGTGTGCTACCCATGGGAAGGAAAGTTTCAAGAAATGTCTGGACACCGGAGGCAGGGATCACAATGTTATTTTTCCAGAGATTCAAAGTCAATATACACTCTGGTGTTTTCCTTGTTATTCTAATCCCTTATCTGGCTGCTGTCATTGCTCTTCAAAACCAGCATTGAACTGTAATCCTGCAATGATTCCTTCTGCCCTATTTGCGATGGAAGCCTCCCTGCAAATGTGCACAAAAATTCAATTTCTTAATGTTTTCTCGTGGCTAAATCTACCTTAACTTATCTCCCAGTCGGGAGGGGCCTGGGGAGGTGGGGTTAGTAAGAATCGGCGCTCTCGAAATCAAGAATTCAAAATGTCTGACAAACAATAGAAATATTTTTTAAAAAATTAAAATAAAATGCGTAACTTCCTTTTCCTTTTGTCTTTCTCAAAGCTGCCTGCCTTGTGCTTGGCTGTATGATTTTCCCTGATGGCTGGGATTCAGACGAAGTAAAACGAATGTGCGGAGAGAAGACAGACAAGTACACCCTCGGGGCCTGCTCTGTCCGCTGGGCGTACATCCTGGCTATCATTGGAATATTGGATGCCCTGATCCTCTCGTTTCTAGCGTTTGTGTTGGGGAACCGACAAGACAGCTTGATGGCAGAGGAACTGAAGGCAGAAAACAAAGGTAAGATTACCGAAAGAACTCTTACTGGATGCCTCAAGTGCAACAATTAACAGAAAAGACAGAGTAAAATAGCCTCCCTCTCATGCTTCCCCCAACCCCCCACGAAGCCCTGGTTTGCATCGTCTGTCATGCTCTTGATTGTAAGACTTCTCTGCAGCTTCAAGACTTGCAAGACTTGCAAGACTTGAGTATAGCATTGCGTTTTCTTATTCAACTGGGGCACTCGTCTTTTTGTGACTGTTTAATTCTTTTTCCTTGGCTGTCAGGAGTTAGTGACTACAAGGAAACATTTGGGGAGCTGTGTCCATTTAATTGAATGGAATGTGCTCTGTGGTGTGGCTGTTTCTCCAGAGTGAAATAAATGCCTGTGACATCTCTAAGACCATCAAAATCTCTTGATTAGAATTCAAACTCATCTTGGGAGGGGGGATCCCCACCCCAAAAGTTATGGGGATTAGAGTAGCACCTCAACTGGCTGAACTTTTTTGTATCCCAGATGTAGCCCCCTCTCTCCCTCTTCTCCTCCCAAGACCCTTCCCTAGTCCACTGATAGGGGAGGTCCTCCTTCCCTTCCCTCTGACCCTAGCCTACCAGGTCTCATCAGGACTGTCTGCGTCGTCCTCCTCTGTGGCCTGGCAAGGCTGCTCCTCCCTCAGGGGAAGGTGATCAAAGAGCCCTGGCTGGACTTTTTAATGCCTTATCTGGGTAACCAAATCCTCAGACTTCTTTTCAAAAGGAAGTTGTCTACCGCACTAATGGAAACTGGGAGAAAGAAAAGGGCACTGACTAGTGATTAGTACTTCGGTATATCAGAGCAGGTGACTAAGAGTTAGGAGCCATTATTCAAGGTGAATCTTGTTCTTTTTCTTCCACGCTCCTAACCTCTTGTTTAGGGTAGAACTTTAATGCCAAGAACTTGTTATAGCTTTAGGGTTGTGTGATGCATTTAATCTTTCTATTATGGGGTTGGGAGCTTCTTCTCGTTGCTGGTTGGTTGGTTGGTTGGTTGGTTGGTTGGTTGGTTGGTTGGTTGGTT